GAAATCTGGAGCTATTAAAAGGGGATGCAGAAAAAAAATCTGGTTCTTCCTTGATGCATTTGGAAAGGAAAATTGGTTTTCTGAAGTTTCAGATCTGCAAAACAGTCAATTATGGAAAGACTTCTTTTCAAAGTTATAGTAGTTTTAAAAAATCACTTTAGCACTCCCTTCCTGATCTTGAATGCCCACATTCATTTGAATTATGGCCCCCATGCATATCAAGCCGATATGATTAAGAATTGTGAAGGAAAGAGTATTATAACTGCTGCTTTTTTATTACAGTAAAGCCACTCCACTTTCTGAAATATTATCCCTCCCCATTCACAATCCTTTCCCACTGGCTAGGCTGACTGTGGCTCCTGGGTGTTGTAGTAAAGCTAGCATCTGGACGACCACATTAACTTCTGCTATAGTGTAAAGTAAGAGCAAGTTTAACTCATAATTAGATTTTGTCTCAGCCATGATTCCCACTGGCTTTTGACTTCAAAAACTGTCTCACTATATCAGCAGAACAAAGCCTTTCTAATACCAAATAAGGCAGTATTTAATAAGCTAGGATTATATAACCAGCTTCTAGGACCTACTTTGCTTTTTATTCCAAGTGTGAAATCAAAATGCAGGATCTAAAGCAAGTAATCAAGGTCCACTGCAGTGATTTATTAGGTAGTACTATTGGAGAGATCTCCTCCAAACGAATAGTAGGAGACACACCCCTGAAAAAAAGAGATGCACTCATATTTATACATTTCAGAAAGGAAGGGGAAATAGTGCATGCATACATATTCATAAGTAATAAAGTAATAGATCTCAGGTTAATTCCTGCCTTTCTGTTATCCACAGAGAACACGGGTCATAGGAAAAAATGCATCTTGGGATTTAGGGGTTGCTATGGGAATATTCTGATAAAATTTGCAACAGGTTGCTGTGAGCTACAACGACACATTCCTTATGTCTTAATTTGTCTATAAAACAGTCCCATTGATGCCTGTATAGATTTTGACTTTGAGGGATGCAATATCCAGTTCAGTTGCTCTGTGCGTAGACTTTTAGACACTATTAAGACAGGACATTGTCTATATGTATAAATTTGCTGATGCTTTTTTAAACTTATATTTGTGTATCAGTGATTGCATGATCTCTTAGATGCCATATACTAAATAAATAAATAAAAACAACCCCGTTCTTCTGAAAACTGATTTTCCCTACACCAGTACACCCAGCTCCAAATCGGTCATTTGGAATATGATAACAGTAGGCTCCACTCAAGCCAACATGGTCAGTAGTGGGAGATGCTGGAATAGCAATTTGGCCAGTGGTTCTCCATGCCGATCTCAGAATTAGGAAAATGAGCAGATAGAAGCAAATGCTAGTCTAGAATTCTTGTCAATGTGAGAAGTGCCACCTCAGCACTTCCATCTCCACATGAAAGGCCTGGACTTCCCAGTCCTTTTATTTAAAAATGTCCCAATTTTCACTGTAAGCTTGCTTTTATCTCAGCCTAATTAAGAATTGGCACAGCAGAAGGAAGACATTTCTGTTATTATAAAGTCAGCAGTCAGTGAAAATAGGAAAAGATATAAAAAGCAAAGAGTTTAGTTTTGTAGGCAAGGTCCCAAGCTGCTTATTAATGATTCTGAGAGAAATTCAACAAGACTGGGCAAAGGGCTTTTATTGGCCCATGGGAATTGCTATCAACCTGTTTTAATCCCAATAGTCAATTCTTAGTTTGAGTCCTTAAATGTCTATGAAAACAATAGGGGCTTATTAGATAGTATGAATGATTTATAGCAGGACATTCAGCTTGGTTTTGTGCTCCTTTTTTTCTCTTGCCATGAACAGTGTTGTAGAAGGCCATCTTTGGTGTGTGTGTTTATAGACACTTTCACAGATATACTGTACTAATGGAAAGCTATATAATAAATATCTTTAGAGTTTCCTCAAAGGGACATAAGTTGACTAGCAAGCATGGTTTCTCATTATGAATTTTATGGACAAAGCATACTGGCAAAGCTTGGTCTGGTGAACCCTGAGTTCATATTCAGAGGTGTTGAGGGCTGCACTGAACATAACCTAAAAGTGTTGGCAAGGCCAGCATAGAAATGAAGCATCACAAAGCTGAGACCTGAGAAAATGACATCTAGAGCAGCATTTTAAAGGCTGTCATTATCAGAGAACTCAACACTCCACTATTTTCCATATATGGAAGTGAAGATGCGCCCTGGTGTATCCTTGGTAACAATCCCAGAAGGACCAGAAAAGTAATAAAAGCTTGTGAAGTTTGAAAGTTTTCCAAGCACTTCAAGACCCTTTAATTCAATTGCTTCTTCAATGATTGAATTCAATTGCTTCTTCAATGATTCTTCAATGGTTGGTGAAATCAAAGTTTCATTGAATTGCAGCACACTTTTAAACTTTTTGCATTACTCAGATCTATTTGTGTTAAGATTATATAGCCCATTCACATATAGGGGCTCTAGGTAACTTATAACTTCCTAAAATTTAATGAAATGTTTAGTCTATCCTTTAAAATCCATGAAAATTCATATGTCCTAAATTTCCTCAAATGTAAATGGAAGAGGGCAAGTTTTACCTTTGATTATTCCACTGTTTAGGGACCACCATACTTAATTATTGATGATAAACATATCTGTGGTAAAATCTGCAAAATATCTCCCACTGAGAAACTAAGAGTGATGGATAGAGATTTGTCAGGTGCAAAGAACCAGAACAACACAGTGAGCTGATCAGAATTGCTTCTTTATTGTTGCTTACCTATTTACAAGAATCTACCAGACTGACTAAATTCTCTCTGGAGCAGGCAGATAAAGGCTTCAGGAAGTAGGTGTGTGTGTGTGTGTGTGTGTGTGTGTGTGTGTGTGTGTGTGTAACCTCTGTCACTTCCTTCCCTGCAAAGACTTCAAGATCATCAGACTTTTCACTCTTGTTCCCACTCAAGGTGGAGATTCCACAACACTACTCTCTATTGAATTAGAACGAACACAAGTTTACCAGTGGGTTTCAACAGGAAGTTTAAGGAGTAATCCTTAACATGAACTCCCTCTAAGACAAGAGTTTTAATTTAGCTAGTCTGAAGAGGGAATAGGAAGAAATAAAAATGTTCAACTAGTGAGGCCTTAAGAAACAGAAGTAAAAAGAATGGGCAGAAGTCACTAGTCATGATCTGCACTATCTGCGGCATATTCATGTTCCTGCCTGAAAACAGTCTGGTACAGGTAGTCCTTGATTTACAACCACTCATTTAGCAATCATTTGAAGTTACAATGGCACTAAAAAAAAGTGACTAACAATCAGTCCTTGCACTTACAACTATTGCAACATCTCCACAATCATGTGATCAAAATTTGAGCACTTGGCAGCTGGCATATATCACGCTGGCTCTGTTTAGTCCTGAGAAAAGAAACCAAGAGGTGTCATATTAAAATTAAGTGCCCTGAGAGTATGACGGTAAGAAAACAGAGTAAACAACCAAATAAAATTAAGCCCATGACTTCAATAGAAGAGAATATTTATAGTTCAGGATTGAATTGTGGAATGTTTGGTGCTTTCTAAGAGGGTTTGTTTGAATGATAAAAACAACTTAATATCTCAACACATGGCTAAACTCACCAGGATTTCAATTGCAAAACTATTAGTATCTTAGACCAAGCCAAATCCCAAAATATTAGAGAATTCCAGATAGCTTGGCATTCAGATAAGTTACCCATCAACAGACACATAATCACATGTACACACCATTCAAAAAAGGCAAAACAAAACTAGGAAGGAAACAAAAAGACTATAATACAGCAGCTCACATTCCAATAAGCAGGGATCAGACAAATAATCAGGCAGAAAATAATACAGTAATTAAGAAACCAAGAAGGAAACTATTCCCCTCCAAACTCTGGCAGGGTAACCTATTGCATATCAATTGGCACTGATACTGCCTAGTTAAGTAATGAAATCAGCCATCTTGGTCTAGTTGTTAAGGTGAGTTCTAGTCCTGTCTTAGGCATGAAAACTGGCAGGGTGACTTTGGGCCAATCACCAGGAGACTAAGAGTTCTAGTCCTGGGCTATGAGAGTCCGCTAGGTGACTTTGGGCCGTCACTCTCTCTATTGGCAGCCCAACCCACTTCACAGGGCTGTTGTTGTGGGGGGAAAATAAAATGAAGGACTCTTAGATTTTTTTGCCCCCTTGAGTCATTTATAAAAAATAATAATTAAGTGGGATAAAAGTAAAATAAATACAAGCAAGCAAACATCCAAGCTCTGGAAGCATCCAGAATTCCAATACCCATGACTTTTTCTGAGTACAAGGCATAGAATAAATAAGTTTACAGTGTTTCTCAACCTTGACAATTTTAAGGCATGTGGACTTCAGCTCCCAGAATTCCACAGCCAGCATTGCTGGCTGTGGAATTCTGGGAGCTGAAGTCCACATGCCTTAAAATTGTCAAGGTTGAGAAACACTGAGTTAAAGGAAGGAACATTATGGTTAAAGGTTAGGAAAAGTATCCTAGCAGGCACAGCAATTTGGCAATGAAATCAGCCATCCTTTGTGGGGGCTGGCTTGATATTCATTCTGGATACTTTAAGCTGAACTGAAGAAACTCTATAGCCCTCCTAACTCTGTGTTTCTGTGATGCTTTGGATTTTAGCCAGGAGGAAACATTCCCTAGAATGCATGCCCAACCTTGGCAACTGTAAAACTTGTGGACTTCAACTCCCAGAAATCTCTAGCTAGCATGGCTGGCTGGGGAATTCTGGGAGTTGAAGTCCACAGGTCTTAAAGTTGCCAAGGTTGGACACCCCCGCCCTAGAAGATAAGCTGAAAAGGGATGGGTGAGATTCTTTTCTTTTTCTTTTTGGTCCAGCAGCCATGCATTCTGCTATATGTGTGTGAAAAAGGATTCTCTCTGAGCTGCCTCTAGACCCTCCTTCTCCCCCGAAATCAGACACCAAGACTTCTTCTAATCACTCCCTCTGCCAGAAAAAAAAACCCTGCTCTGTCTTTCCTCTTTAAGAACAGATTCTTCACCTCTCCCTCCCTTTTTTTCCTCTGAGCATTAATTTTCACCGTCCTTGGCCACACAATGTGACTGGGTGTCTTCCTCCCCCCACTCCACCACCACGACTTAGGCACTTTTAAATAAAGAAAGGACCGTTTCGGTTTCCTGCATTCAAAACATGTCATGTATCCAAAAAACCTGGATTGCAAACTTTTCCTTTTGGGTTCACCTCCTTAATATCCAGGCATTTTGCTATGCTAGAAATCCTCCACCCGGGAGATTTGTCTTTCCAGACCAGAAGCAAGGTCAGTAGCTTTTTGTTCTGTTTTGTTTTAAAATTACAATAGCTGCATAAAGCGGAGGAAAATGGGGCATCTTTCTTCCACATTCCTGCACTCTGGATTAAGTTTGCAAAACAAAGGACCCATCAGCAAGTAAGTCGCTAAAGTTTCTTCTCCTCCGTTGAATGCATCTAAGTTTTTTTTGATATTTCTGGATTTATTGTATATCATATGTAACATTTTTCTTCTCCTGTTAGTAGAACAATCACTGCCCACCGCAGCTCGTTAAGTGGTCACAGAAGCATTGTAGTAGATTTAAACGGCAGAGACATTCATAATATTTTCCCCTCCTACAAAATTAGAGCTTTGTCGAAATTGCAATTATTATTACCCATCCTCCTTGCAGCCAGTTAACTGGTGACTTGGTCGCTTCCAAGCTGAAATTACACACACGTAAACACACACAAAAAAAAAGAAGAAGAAGAAGAAAGAAAAAAAAAGAAATAAAAAGAAATGCTCATTGATGACCATTCTTTGTAAAACAATCACCTTCGCTCCAGAAACCACTCTGAATGGGATTTTGAACAATTCTGTTTTTCCGGTTGCGGTTTTCTAAACTCGAGTTTGACCAGTTGATTCATCAGTCATTAAAAAAAAAAAAAGTATCTGACTCAAGGAAAAAGCAATAATGAATAAAAGGGCTTTGTCTTCCAATTTCAGCTACAAGAAACAGTTTATTATGATGAGGTTTATAAATTGCACAAATGCAGCAAAGCTACGTGAGGGCTGTTTATTATTCATAGCCATTTTGCACGAACAAGGAATTGTTTTGACATTTGAGGTCCTGTTTGCAAGGCCTGGGACTTGAACTTAAATACTGATGGGGTGGTTGATATTTTCACAGCTGTTGATTGTACAGTTTTAACAGCATGCTTGACAGGCGAGTGTTCTGGGAATGTTACACATTGTAATGGATTTGATTCTATTAAGAATCATCTGCAAGTACCATTCCATTTCTTGAGTTTTGTACAGGTAATACCTGACTTACAACAAGTTCATTTAGTGACTGTTCAAAGTTACAGCAGCACTGAAAAAAAATGATTAATGACCATTTTTTCACACTTCACACACAGCATCCTCATGGTCATGGGATCAAAATTCAGACACTTGGAAACTGCCTGCTATTTATGATTGGGTCATGTGATCACTTTTGTGACCTGACAAGCAAAGTCAATGGGGAAAGCATATTCACATAACAACTGTGTTACTAATGCAACAACTGCAGTGATTCACTTAACAACTGTGGCAAGAAAAACCATAAAATGGGACAAAACTCACTTAACAAATGTCTCACTTAACAATAGAAATTTTGGGTTCAGTTGTGGTTGTAAGTTGAGGACCTGTAGTACCTTAATTATCCAATTGGTTGCTCAGGGTTTTGAACATTACACCAGTTACAACACTGAAGCACAGGTGAGGAGGTTTGGCACAAAGAAGCATCAATAAGAGGATACAGGTAGTCCTTGACTTACGACCACAACTGAGTCCAAAATTTATGTTGCTAAGCAAGACAGTTGTTAAATTAGTATCACAGAAATTATTAAATTAGTAACATGGTTGTTAAGTGAATCAACCTTTCCTATTGAGTTTGCTTGTTAGAAGATCGCAAAAAGTGGTCATATGACTCCAGGACATTGCAACTATAATGAATACATACCAGTTGCCAAATGTCCAGATTTTGAACATGTAACCATGGGGATGCTGCAATAGTCATAAAGTGTGAAAAACAGCCATAAATCACTTTTTTCAGTGCCATTGTGACTTCAAACAGTCATTAAATGAATGGTTGTAAGTCAAGAACTACCTGTATTCTTCAAGGCCAAAGAAGGCAAAGAAAATTCTGCTTAAGTATCTGGTAGTTGTTTTGGAATAGATGAGGATTAATGAACTGAAATGTAACCCAGACAACAGAGACATGATGGAGAACCAGAAATCTGTCATTTGAACCATGATGTACAATAGGTCACCAATGGACTTGTGCTCTCTAAAAGCACCAACTGTTCAGAGCTCCTGGATGCTTTGTCAGTATTGCTAATATAGTAGTAAGGCAACTTTTACACATGTGTTTTTCAACTCCCAGAATACTCAGTCATGAAAATGCTGGCTGGTGAATTGTGGGATGTGCCAGAGTTGAGAAACACTTGGTTAGATTTTTATAAAGAAATGTTTTTCAATCTTGGCAGCTCAGTAGTGTCAGTGGCTTAAATTGCACTTTATCAGCTTTAGCAATAGCAATAGCATTTAGATTTACACACCGTTCTATAGTGCTTTATAGAACTCTCTGGGCAGTTTACAGAGTCAGCATATTGCCCCCAACAATCTGGGTCCTCATTTTACAGATCTCAGAAGGATAGAAGGTTGAGTCAACTTTGAGCCAGTCAGGATCAAACTCCTGGCAGTGAGCAGAGTCAGTCTGGAATGCTGCATTCTAACCACTGCACAACCACTAGCTTGTTTTCCTAATTCAGCCTTAGAAGGGAAAGCAGACTTTATATAGTATGAACTACACACAGATTATGAGCGCTTAGAAGAAGGCTAGCATATTCAATTGCCTCTGAATGCATCAGCTAAAATACATGAGTGTTTTAGATGTACAACTAATTGAAGGAGCTAATCTATGACTAGTTTACTCCAACTTTTACCAATCTGCTGCTTTTCATATGGGATTCGGACTGCAATTGTCAGAATTCCCAAATAGAGTGGTATGCCACTGGTTGGGAATGTTGGCAGTTGCAGTCCCAACATATTTGAAAAAGTACATTCACTTATGAGCTACACCTAGAAGACTGGAAATCACCATTATTACCAATATCCAGTCCTTTAGTCTTTGGGGCCAGCAGTTACTACTGGAGAGTATCAGAAAAGAGAATTTTGCTCCAAATAGTTCCTAAGGAGGGAGAAGGAAAGCATATCTGTATTTCTATATTTCTACAGTATGTTGTATGTGTAATACAAACACATACAGATTAGATCAGTTCATAATTTACTATTAATAGCATCCTCTTTACTAGCTTCAGAAGTGTTAGAATAATATAGATAGATGAGTTGGGGTATCCCTCATGGATTATTTCAACATGTATTTGAAAGCTGGACTAGATGTAAGAAAGCAAAAGGAGAGATTTATTCCTCCATTTCTTGTAGTTTAGATAGTAAGTACTCAAGATGATTTTAAAAAATATCTCAGCTAAAAAAAGTGTGGCAGTATTGACTGACATGCTTTTGATTAGCATCAATATTCACCTTTGAGCTAAACTTAACCCCTGATGATTTCATGGGCAACACTAAGTCACTGCCTCATTTGAAATATTTCTTTTTTTATTTCTCAGTCTAGTTCTGGACTTTCACAGTAATGTCTCACTGAAATATTAATCAAATACAACCCTGATTATGTTAGTGAGATCATTCAAGGTCAGCGAGGTGCTACTATTTGCTAGAAACATAGCATGAACTACATTAGATGAATTCATCAAAACAAAATGTCTTGATGAGAACAAGCTGATGAGGACAAGTCATCAGAGTATTTTATTTATCTATTTGAAATGAAACAGAAACAAAATATTCTCATGATGACCCCACAAGGTTCATCTTGTCCTATATGTTATTTACATTGTCTTTTAGATAATGTAAACAATAAAACAGTTTAAGAACATTATGCCAATTAAAAAAATCATTAAAGTAGAAAGTAAAACACAAATCATTACAAAGTTTGGCTTGTCCTCCAGATACGATGGCTAGAAATTCTGGAAGCTATAGCTCTAACACAGACATGTCAAACACAAGGCCTGGAGGCCGGATGCGGCCTGCGAAGTGGTTTCATGTGGCCCGCGAAGCCATCCTGGAAACAGTGAGAGAACGGCCCCCGCTGCCTTGGCCCTGGCCCAGGCCAGCTGGGAGCCAATGTACAATTTTGTGGTGGTCATCTATGCTGAAACGCATTCAGTCTTAGCTCCACAAGGCTGTCTAGAAACAGCGAGGAACCAGCCCCTGCTGCGTCGGCCCCGCCCCCTGGGTGCATGCTGGGGAAGTGTCACCCTTTGTGAGGAATGAAGAAATTTACCATGCCTTGGTGCTTGCCCCGGTCCCACCCCCTTCTGCCAGAGACCCTCAGATCTGTCCCACTCCTGCCCAGGCCCCCACAGGCACCCTTGACGCAAACAATGTAGAGTTGGCCATACCCACCCAGTAGGCCACACCCACTCCATCCATGCCCACCCAGTAGGCCACACCCACCCTGGCCACACCCACCCAGCCCCCCCCCCCAAGGGCAACTACAATGCTGATGCGGCCCTCAGTGAAATTGAGTTTGACACCTCTGCTCTAACATTATCTGGAAGATAACAAGATGACTTTAGCTGACTTTAAAGAGTGAAACATTTCTAAGGGATGAATTCCAGACAATGAAAAAACGATGCTAAAATTAAAGCATATAAAGCTAATCTTTATAATATTGATTGTACCCATTATTTATTTATTTATTTGTTAAATTTATTTACTGCCCATCTCGCCCGTGGGACTATTCTGGGCAGCTTAGAACAATCAAGCAGAAAAAAATGTAAACATAACAATAGCAAAGGAATAAAACAAAAATAAAGAATGGAAGTACAATAATATGAAATTAAAGAAGATGGATGGAGGGGAAGCAGGAAATGCAGAGGGAAGGCTGAGTCAGTTAATTAGTCTAATAGACACCTCCAGTGTGGAACTCCCCCCCCCATTTGATCCCCAGGCCAACTGGCAGAGCCAGATCTTCAGGCCCTAGTGGAAGGATAGGAGGGTGGGGGCAAACACACCTGTGGAGGGGGCAGGTTGTTCCAGAGGGCTAGTGCTACAGCAAAGAAAGTTCTTCTAGATCCCATCAGTCAAAGTTCTTTGATTCACTGACAGATAATAAATTAAGAGTTTCTGACAGTCTTGGACATTTAAAAGCAACAACAATCTTGTCTCACACCTACTGTAAATGATGTTCCTTAGGAGTTGCTACATGGCTATTTTTAAGAGCACTAAGGAGAAAGATCTCATTTACTATAGACGTATTGAAATCAGGTCATAATTAATTCCTGCCTGAGCAGGGGGTTGGACGAAATGACCTCCAATGTCCCTTCTAACTTTATTATTATTATAATTTAAGGGCCATTTATTTCAATAGATATATTTTAAACAGGATGTAAACATTGTGTCTCAAATGAGCTTCAATGGTTCATATTTTGAATTTGGCATGGGAATAATGGCATGATGTTATACGCTGTAAATGTAATAAACTCTAATATTAATAGTGATCACTTTTTTAAAAAGCTAAGTTTCAACTCTTTCTCTCTCTTAGATCAATTTGTTAAAGCGCTGCAAGATTGCCAAGTGGTTAGCCCAGAAAGAGTTGATGGATATGGACATTTTCTCTCCTACCATTTGAATCATCATGCTTCAAACTTCAGAGGAAAAAGAGACTCTAAGAGAAGAGACAGTAAATCATATTATAAAATTAGGCACAAAAACAAGGATCTCTTCTTCAATTTAACTCTTCACCAAGAATTACTGTCCAATAATTATGTTCTGGAAAAGCACTATGGCAGCTATCTTGGTGCTAAGATCCTTCCAAGAGTAGCCACGTCATGTCACCTTATTGGGATGGTCATGGATTCTGATTCCAGAAACGGAAGAGCAGTGATCAGTACTTGCAATGGGCTAGTAAGTGACTAAATTATTTGGAAATCTTTATCACCCTTTGTAATTGTAAAAGGAAGTTAGTCTTAAACCAGCCCAACCTTAGGAACTATGCATAAAAAAGCTAATTTTAAAATGTACCAAAATAGCGTTATAGAAAGAGTTATCTGGTACCTACAACTGGATTTTGAGGGAAAATTTTATCTTGAGGCCACCTTAAACTCATCCTATGTTAAACCATAAAAATTGTGCAGGAATCTGAGCAATTATGTGTACTTGATGGCTGCTCTAGGATTCTTAGATTTTGGGGGTGGCAATCATCTTTAGAATTCAGAGAACATCAGTGCTTTCATAAAAGCGCTGAGGGAGATGAGTGATTTAGAAACTGGAAGAAAAAAATAACATAAAATAATAAAATAAATAATTGTTGTTATAGGGGGGCTTCTTAGTCACTATTAGAGAAGACACTTTTCACCTGGATGAAGAAATGACGGAGACTGGAAACTTTGTCTGCTTGCAAGTGGGGCACCACTGCCTCCCAAAGTTCACCATCGCCTACTGCCCAGTATTTTCATGCACATTGGCTGGCTTAGGAAGCAGTGGCAGGGCACGGCCCAGTCCAGCCCAGCAGCAACAGCAACACCAGAATCCTGCCCCCTCCCGGGATGGTTCCGCCAGTGCCAGCTGTGTGCTATTTAACCCTAAATGCTCAGACCAGAGTCTCGGGCTGGTAAGGAGGCAGAGGCTCCAGGCAGGGATGGCAGCCTCAATGGGGCAGGGCAGGTGATAAGTGGAGCACTCCGCCACTGCTGCTTCCCCCTCAGAGCTGCAAGCGTGAGGCAGCTCTGAGGCAGTGCCCATTTCCTTTAAGCCTGCTGAGGCTCCAGTCTGGATGCTTAGGGTTAAATAGCACACAGCTGGAGCCATCCTTGCCATCCTGGGGGGATTCTGGTGTTGCTTGTGGCATACCTCACCGACTCCTGCCCCATTGTGGCCGTGAGCAACCAGACAGTGGGACAGAGTAGGTGGGGAGGAGGGGGTTACAAAATAAGACATCCCCCAAAATAAGCCCTAATGGGTCTTTTGGTAATATATATACCAGGAGCCTTGAAATGTATTTACATTTGGGGGTTTGTAACAGAATATTGAAAGTCTGTCAAGGCTACTCTCAGCTTCAACAGATACCCAACCCAATCAAGATGGAATAGTGCTGAGTTTCTTTCCTGCACTTTCTACTTTCCCAGAACTCAACTCTCTTTTCTGTAACAGCCGGGCATTCCCTTCCTCCTTCTGTGAATCAAACCTAAATTCTTTCCTTGGGATCCATTCCAGCCATAATTACTGAAAATCCATGATTTCTGTTCTTTTAAGACAGGAAATATGAAAAGCCACATAAGACCAATAGGCTTAACCTCAAATTCCTAAGAAAAAAACAAAAGAAGAACCATGCTTTGCTCAGTCATTAAACTTAGTCATATGCCCTGCTTCATCATCTGATGATGTTCTGATGGCCAAAATAAGGACCCAGATTGTTGGGGGCAATATACTCACATTGTAAGCCATGCAGAGAGTGCTGCAAAACACTATGGGGTGGTATATAAATCTAAGTGCTATTGTTATTGCCACCATCTCAGTTATTGTGGTTCTCAAGGAAGCTTGTGATGCTTCTGGCCCTACTATAAATTGCTGTCTTCTCTCTGTCATCTCCAGATATTTGGGTCTACATCTTGGGATGTAGCAATGGTAATAGTCACTATAGGTATAGGCATTTGAGGAAACCTTAATAACATGTGTATCATGATGTCATCGTGCAAATTGCTACTTCATGTCATTTGTGTAATAATGTCATAACACACGTGATGTTCTTTGTCTCCAAAGATTCCCATGATCAAAAGTTTGCAATCCCATCGTATCAGGGGTTGTCAGATTTGGGAGAATCTGTTCTGTTTTAACAGTGAATGTCAGAGGTCCTTTTGTGGCTATGCATTTCCTTTGACAGTAGAGATACCTCTAGACAATTTGGTTTTCTATCACCATGTCACCTGATTTATACACTCTGAATACTTGAGATACGTGTTCTGGGGCAGGAAAAGAAAATTGGAATTTCTCTGAATTTTCAAAACAAGGCTTTCAAGTTGATTCAAAGTCAGCCAGAATATCTGGAATGTGGAGAATGATTTGAGTTTTGGCCTAGGCCCTAATCAAAAAAAGAAGGTTTAGTGAGTTGGCAGGCAGCTGCAGCCTGCCAAATTCCAGCCCAAAGTATGTTCTTGATCCTTAGCTCTTCCTTCTTTTTATAGATTAAACAAAGCCAATGTAAACATTTGGGAACATTTCCCTCCTTTTGGCTTTCACCCCATTGCAGAGAAATGAAAAAAGCTTTGCTTCCTGGCAGGTCTGTAAAATCTCCTGGAGCTGTGTTCAAAAGCATGCTTGAAAAGAGAGCTTAATACGGATGGAAATCTTGTCTGTCTTGTTAGCTCTCTACAGGTAACCATCATAAAAAGTATCAGGAGAAAGCCTTTAAATAAGAGTTTCAAAGATTTTGGTGTCAAACGTTGCCAAGAAAAGGGGCAAGGATCAAAGTGCAATGGCAAAGACAGCTGTGCACATCTGGGGCAGTCCCATAATTTTTAAGTAGTAGGAGAAAGCTGACATTAGATTTATTCTACACACACTACCTACTGAACCATCAGTCCCTTATTCCTGTCTTCTGCTGGCTTAAGATTTTCAATGGCATTCTGAATAAAGCTGTAGTTTTTAAAGTTTGCAACCCAAATGTTTTAAGGGTACAGTGTATGCATGGTTTCCCTGCATGCTTGTTTTATCATTTAATTTTTTTTTTATTACACAAGAAATCTACTGTTTCTTAGCTTTGCTATTTCTACTATGTAACACATGTCAGCCACAAGTCTAACAGAGAGAAAAATTTAAAACTGCAGCCTAGAGCATCTTGGAAATATCAAGGGAATGCCCACACAAATATATACAAATGAACACACACACATATACACACTTGTAATTCTTGACTTACAACAGTTCATTTAGTGACTGTTCAAAGTTACAATGGCACCGAATAAAGTGACTTATGACCATTTTTCACAATTACAACCTTTGCAGCATCCCCATGATCATGTGATCAAAATTCGGATGCTTGACAACTGATTCATATTTATGACGGTTGCAGTGTGTCCCAGGGTCATGTGATCAGCTTTTGTGACCTCCTGACAAGCAAAGTCAAGGGGGAAGCCAGATTCACTTAACAACTGTGTGACTAACTTATCAACTGCAGTGGTTCTAACTTAACTAACTAGTGTAACTAATGTAAAAAATGCAATGATTACTTAATAGCCGTGGTAAGTAAAGTGGGGCAAAACTCACTTAACAAATGTTTCACTTAGCAGCATAAACGTTGGGCTCTATTGTGGTCGCAACTCAAGGACTGCTTATGCCCTATACCAGTGGTGCTGAACCTATGGCACGTGTGCCAGAAGCGGCACTCAGAGCTCTCTCTGTGGGCATGCACAGTGTTGCCCCAGCAGAGTTCGCCAGAGTAGCGAGCACATGGCGCTTGGAAGTGACAGGGCAGGAAGTGAGCAAGCAAGCGGCGTTGGCCCCCCAGAGATGCCCCAGAGATGGCAAGGGACTGGCCCCTGCTGCCCTGGCCCCAGCCACGCTCACCCAGTCTGCCATGACCACTGCAGCCACGCCCACCCAGTGGGCCACGCCCCCTGCCCTCCCTGAGGCACCACAATGCTGATGCAGCCCTGGTGCTTTGCGATAAATAAGTGGGTTTTGGGTTGCAGTTTGGGCACTTGGTCTCTAAAAGGTTCGCCATCACTGCCCTATACAAAGATGCATGCATGTAGTCCTCAACATACAACCACAACTGGAACCAGAATCTGCATTGCTAAGCAAGGTGGTTGTTAAATGAGTTGTGCCTGATTTTTATGACCTTTTCATTCCCATGGTTGTTAAGCAAATCACTGCAATTAAGTGAATCACGTGATTGTTAAGCAAATTTGGCTTGCCCCATTGACTTACCTTGTTGGAAACCAGCTGGGAAGGTCTCAGAGCAATCATGGTCCAGGATGCTATAACTGTTGCAAATCCATGTTGGTTGCCAAGTGCCCAAATTTTGATTACATTACTGGGGATTCTGTGATGGTCATAAGTGTGAGGACTGGTCATTAGTCCCTTTTTGCAGTGGATGTAAGTCGACGACTACCTCTACACACACAAGCGCACACACACTCACCCACACACACGCCTTGATTTAGAATAGTGTATTTTAAAACTGGCTTGCAAGACTAATTTAAAACAAAATATAATGTACAAAGAGTACATTGTATATGGATCATTTTTTTTAAAAAAAAAAGATTGCATAGTGTATTAGTTTTCCAACTTGTCCTTTTAACGTCCCTTGAACACCTGCCAAGTCCAGATCCAATGCTGTTAATTCCAGATTATGAAATCTATTTGTAAATCTTCAGTGGTTAGGAAAATAATCTCTCTATATGCTCGTGGACATTCTTGTTATATTAATGAATTCCCATCAGGTAGTCTAGTGGGCAATAGGGCCTGTATACTTTTCAAGAATTCAGTTTGCTAATTAAAGAAATGCACAGTTCTAATATTTCAGTGACTCCCATGTTTCTGTTTTTCATGATGGTAAATGACATTTAAGAATTGTTTTCCCTCCCTTCCCGATAGAGCAAGGTACTGTAGAAGTGGTTTGTATGGTATAAAAATGTTAATTTAGCCTTGAAGGAATAATCAGTAAGGAGCTGTTTCCTAGGTAATCTTTGCTTTCTGAGCTAAATCTTTACAAGCATTTCCTACCCACTTTTGCATACTCAATAGGCTTTGAAAAGTTATGTTGAGTGTGGAAAAGAAATCAGCCCCACAGACCTTTAGCCCTAGACCTGCTTTTGAGATTTGAAGGCCTGGGAATAACACCTTGCATGCAACAAGACTGATTCATGTTCTAACCTGGCTCAGATCAAAGCAAAACAATGCTGGCC